CCTGGCTTCAGATCCTGGCCATCACGTCCCTCTTGTGTGACCCAGGGCAAGTGACGTATGGGCCCTGAGTGTGTGAGGAGAGATGATGGTAGAGTCTGCCCGGGATGTTGTGAGGAGCAAATGAGAGGGTGTTCCCCCAGTACCTGGGGCCAGCCTGGCACGTGGTCATCTTGGGCACTAGAACTGCATCCAGCAGCTGCTCATCTGCCAATGCCCGTGTTCGAGGGTCTGTTTCCAGCCAGCATGGGCAGTCTGGGTGATTCCAGGAGAATTCCAGGGTTCTCAGTAGAAGTCTGGTCACCTTGGCTTTCTTCTCTGCAGCTCTGGGCAGAGCCAGGGGCTTGTCACTGGCCAGGGGACTTAGGAGACCACACAGACCACCCACCCCACCCTGGGTCTCCCAGCTGCCAGGCCCGCTCCTCTGAAATCTGGGTTTTGGGATTCCATGGTCTGATCTACCCTCCCAGCCTCTCTCCACACCTGCCTTCAGCGGTCTTGGCCCTGTTTCCAGACCCGTTCATGTTCTCCCAGCCTCTCCACATCTCGGAGTGTCTTTCTCTCCCTGCTGGACTCCAGGATCCATCACCTTTGCCCTTCTTCCCTGTGCAGCCCCCCGCCTGGCCCAGTCAGGACTGTATGCTCATCCTGGCCCTCTGGCCTGGCACCACCTGCCCTGAGGCCACCCAGACTATAGAACTGGAGGGTTTGTGCCTCCCCATGTCCCCCGCCTGGCTAAAGGCCCCAGGTCCCACGGGTCCTGCCTCCCTCCGTTGCTTCTGCCCAAGCCGTGGCTGCCTGGGTCATCCCCAGCCCTGCATGTCTGCGTGGCTCAATTCTCCCCAGCACTGCTGCCCCCAGAAGGCCCCAAACCTTCCTCCAGGACAGCAGTGAGCCATAGGCAGTGTGGTCAGCATGCTGGTTAGGGCACTTCTGCTGCTAAGCCATAGCGGTGTCTGCCTAAGGTCCAGCAGGGGCAGCAGGCTGGTCACCGGTCCCAGAAACAATAGCAAGGCCAAGGGCTGTACAGAGTGAGGCAGGGTCAGAAGTGGGTGCCAGCCAGGCCTGGGCCGCCCTCCCCAGGGCCCCCACCTTTGTGCTCCCTGCCTTGTGGTGTTGTGTCTGGGCAGCCTTGTCTTTGGCACACCGCAGCAGCAAAAGTGTATGGTGGACACAGATGGCACCTGCTCATGTCTGCCATTTTCCCCATCACCGCTGCCAGGGAATGCTGGCTGGAGGAAGGACGGAGTAGATAGGGTATGACAGAGGCCGGAGGCCAGCCCTGTCGGTGGGTGGGGGAAATGGACAGGCACGGCTGCCCTGGGCTCTCTCCCGGGGGTGGCTGCTTTCCAGACCTCGCCCTTCCACAGATGACCCGAGGTCTCTGCCTGGGTGGGGCCATCGGAGGCTCTGTTGTGTCAACTGTGATGTGATGTTCTCTGGATCCTTGTTGGGCCTGGCTCCAGGGTCTGGGCTCAGGGACGGAGGCTGCAGGGTCAGAGGGCAGCGCCACATGAGGGCTTGGCGGTCCAGGAGGCCTTCTGAGGGAAGCGCCCTGGCAGCGTGTGCAGAGGGCTGGGATTGGGGTTGGGATTGTTTAGCCAGCTGGAGTGCCCAGGAGGTGAGATGAGAGAGGCCGGGAGGGCCTGTGCTGCTGGCTGTGGTTGGAGGATCAGCTGAACCAAGCGGGGAGGCTGGAGTTTCCTATAGCTGTAGGGCTCTGTGTCCCCTCCCACCTCTCCTCCTCTCCCGGCCCCACCAAGACTTCTCTGGTGGGTCTCACAGGCTGCGCCCCCTCCATCCTCTAGCTGTGGGTGGGGCCCGTGCCTGGATGACCCTCCTGCCAAGGACATCATCGACTTCCCCTCAGTGCCGCCTGGCGTCCTCTATGATGTGAGCCACCAGTGCCGCCTCCAGTATGGGGCCTACTCTGCCTTCTGTGAGGACATGGATGTAAGTGGGGCCGGTGTGGGTGTGGGGGTGTGGGGACCCAGCAGGAGGGCTCAGGGGACAGCTCTCACCAGCCCGTGGATGCCAGCCTGGGAGTAACCTCGCCTGGCCTGGGCTGCGCCCCCAAGTGATACTGTGAGACGTCAAGTGGCCTGTGGGAGAGGCCAGGGATGGGCGGCCACAGACCCAGCTCTGATTTCTGCGTCAACCATGGACCAACTGTGACACTTTGGGCAAGTCCCTTAGCCTCTCTGGAGCTGGCTCATGAGAGGGAAAAGGGACCCCAGTGGGGAGGGTCTATTTATCCTGGAGAAGATCACCTGAAGTGATCTTCTAACGGGAGTGTTTCCAGAGGAGGGGCTGGGCCGGGAGAGGTGGGGACAGCTGGGGACGGCTCTGAGGAGCACAGCCCTGGGCGCCCCACACCACCACATGGTCCGGGGAGGAAGGTGGGAGCAGGCACACAAGAAGGGACCTCTGGGGGTCAGTGGGCCCCTGCCATGTGGAGGGGTGCCCAGGGGACCCTTGGGGACAGGGAGGGGGCAGGGTGGGTGGCGGCACTGGGAGGGGGTGAGGGTATGGCCCATGCCCTCCTCCTTGCAGAATGTCTGCCACACACTCTGGTGCTCTGTGGGGACCACCTGTCACTCCAAGCTGGATGCAGCCGTGGACGGCACCCGGTGTGGGGAGAATAAGGTAGGGGATGACCCCAGTCCCGGTGGTGGGTGTTGGAGAGGCCAGACCTGCTGTGACCGGGCCCTGGGGTCAGCCCCGGCTCACAGTCTTGCTTGTGCTCCTAGCAGAGCCCCGCACTCTCTGCCCCTCAAGGCCCCATCTGCAAAGCGGAGGCATTGAGGCCAGGGCTTGATTCCATGATTCCCCAGGGTGTCTTCAGCTGAGTCAGCACGTGGGCTGTTTTACTCCCTGCTCAGCTCCTCCCTGTGGCCTGAGTCACAGATGATTGTGATGATTGTAAAGGGGCGTCTCTCACCTTCCATTCTTCCCCTCTGTGCCTTTCGCGGCCTTCCCACCCACCTTGTTCTCACTAGGGTGAGGATGACTGATAGGCTGGGGGGTGGGGTGGCTCTACCTCCATCTGTCACAGTAGTGGTGTCTCAATGGGGAGTGCGTACCCGTGGGCTTCCGGCCCGAGGCCGTGGATGGTGGCTGATCTGGCTGGAGCGCCAGATCCATCTGCTCGCGGAGCTGTGGCGTGGGCGTACAGAGCGCCGAGCGGCAGTGCACGCAGCCTACGTGAGTGTGGGGCCCAGGGTGCCCTGGGCAATCGGACAGAGGGACCCAAGCAGTCAGCCGATTGCAGGAGCTTGGCTCTGTCCCAGCCCCTGGCTCTGAGAAGTGTCTTCATAATGGTCAGTCCGAGTGTCCAGGGCACCTTGAGTCACTTTCAAGCAGTGTTCTGGGGGCTGACAGGGTCCCCACTGCTGACCTCTTTCCAGAGAGGGGGACACTGAGGCCCAGAGATTGGAGAGACTCATCAGAGGCCACATGGCAAAGCAGCTGCTGGCTGGGAGGAGGCAGGAGAGGGCAGTGGCGAAGAGCATGGGCCCTGGACCTTAGATGGCTCTGAGTTCGAATCCTCTGTTCACCCCTTCTCTGGGCCTCCGTTTCCCCGTCTATATAATAGCAGTGCCCATCCAGTAAAGTTGTAGTCGGGGGCAAATGCAGTTTACGCAGGCCAGGCCCTCAGTTTTGCAGCTCGTCTGTAGTGGGCACTCAGCGGGAGGGGCTTGGTGGCCTCAGAGGCACAAGGGTCTGAGATGAGACTGGGGGCAGCTGGGAGGATGGGCCAGCACTGAAGGGGTGGCCTGAGGTGAGTGACTTCACCTCTCTGGGCCTCTGTTTCCCCATCTAAACGGTGGGGTGTGAAGATCTGCTGAGACACAGAGGCCAGTCGTACTGTAGACCTGAGGCACTACCCGGCTAATCTTCACTTCCGGAGGCCACCTGGGGCAGGCATGGGGTTCACAGTCAGTCCCACCCAGGGCCCTGTGCTTACCCAAGATTGGCCTGTGGCCCTCCTGCCTCCTGGCCTCCAGGTCTGAGCTGGGTGGGGGCCAGCGACCCTGGCCTAGATGCAGAGGGTTTCAGGAGCTGTGCTCGGTCAGACCTCTCAGCTGGCTGGGGCCCTGGGTGCTTCCTTTAGGCCCGGGCTGGGGTACTGCCACCAGGAGGGAGGCTGAGGACTCAAGGGCTCGTTAGGATGCTGGTGTCATGGGTCAGAGACTTGGAGCAGTCCCTCCAGCCAGTGCCAGTCATGCCTACAGCTTGTCCCAGCTTCTCAACAGCCCTCTGCAGAGGCAGCCCCAACCTCACTTTATACTGGAGGAAACTGAGGCCCAGAGGGTGGCTGAAGATTTGCCCACGGTCACACAGCAGGTTGGGGTCAGAGCTCAGGCTTCCTGCTGCCACCTCCCCACAGGTCCTTACAAACAGGGAGGGTGTGTCTGGGCCACAGGGTGGGCAGCCCAAGGGAGGAGAGCAGCGTGCACAAAGTTGGGCGGCAGGGATCTTGGGGTGTGGGTGCAGGAGGAAGCCGCTCGCTCTGGGCTGTGGCCATGCAGTAGTATTCACCAGTCCCTCACTAGGGCGCACCCCGGTCCTCCCCACAGGCCCAAATACAAAGGCAAATACTGTGTGGGTGAGCGGAAGTGCTTCCGCCTCTGCAACCTACAGGCCTGCCCCGCTGGCCGCCCCTCCTTCTGCCACATCCAGTGCAGCCACTTTGACGCTACGCTTTACGAGGGCCAGCTGCACACATGGGTGCCCGTGGTCAATGACGGTGAGTGCTGCCTCCCATGGAGACACTGAGGCCCAGAGGGCTGGGGGTGTGTAGGTCCAAGGTTACCCTGTGATGCAAGCAGGAGGCCCAGTCTCCACCCCAAGCCTGGGCAACTCCCAATGTCCCCTGGGGCTGCTGCTCACCCATCACTAGCTCTCCAGTCTGCAGCCTTGCAGATAGCTACCAGCCCAGCTGGAGCCTCCAGCATGTTGGTGCTGCTTGGGAGCCTCTAGCCTGCTATGGATGTGTGTCACAGAGGGGTCTTCTTGGTGGTCTTCACATTCCTGCCCCAGCTGTTGCTGATGGCTCTTCTACTTGGGCCCCCAGTGAACCCCTGCGAGCTGCACTGCTGGCCCTCGAATGAGTACTTTGCTGAGAAGCTGCGGGACGCCGTGGTCGATGGCACCCCCTGCTACCAGGTCCGGGCCAGCAGGGACCTCTACATCAACGGCATCTGCAAGGTGTGCCTGGTTAGAAGAGGCTCTCCCAGCACTGGCTGCCCACAGCCCCACTGGCAGGCCCCAGGCTCTCTCCTGGGTCCCTCCTGGTCCTCCTCAGGCCACCCTCCTCATGCTCTACCTTTGGGCCTCCCAGCCCCTACCCTGTATGACCTCTAAGGCAAAGCCCCTACTATGCCTTCTGGCACTGGGGACCCCTCCCAGTCAGGCCTCGCCCCCTGCATCTCCTTGGATGCCTGCACCAGCACCGCCCCAGCCAGGAAACCAAAGCCCAGGCAGTGGCTTGACCTCTTGAGCTGGCTGGCTAACGCCAGGCAGTGGTTTGCTCCCTGACAGAAGGGGTTAAATGAGGTGGCACAGGTGACATGAAGGGCTCTGAGCCCCGAAGAATAGTGCTCAGTATTTGGTAACAATTTCTATTCTTATTTTTAATAACAACGATGGCCTCTCCTCTTTGCCTATGTCCCCAGCCACCTACTTGTCCCTGCTTCTTGCCCTCTAAGCCTCTGGGGTATCAAGGCCTGGGCTCCAAGGAGGACCAGCAGGGAGGTGCCAACCCCCAGTGCCTTTGACGTTGAAATTCCCTGCAAGCGCTGGTCAGGAGCCCGTGGCGCGTCAGATCCCCTGCCTGCCCGTGGCCTTTGCAGAACTCTTTCCTTCTCTTGTCTCATGTGATGCTCACGACATGCCTTTAAGCGAGGGGTGGGTCTCCCCATCTCACATCTGAGGAAACTGAGGCTCAGGGAGGTAGAGAAGTTCACCTGGGTCAGAGGCACAGCTGGGATGGGGCAGGGCCAGAGAGAGGCCTCCTGACCCCCACTCCCAGCTTTCTCCTCCTGAGCCTGGCTGGCCCCAGGGGCTGGGACCACAGAGGGCTGGCCGCCAGCACCAGGAGCTTCCCCTCCTTGTGTGTTGCAGAACGTGGGCTGTGACTTTGAGATTGACTCCGGTGCTATGGAGGATCGCTGTGGTGTGTGCCACGGCAACGGCTCCACCTGCCACACCGTGAGCGGGACCTTCGAGGAGGCCGAGGGTCTGGGTATGGGGTGGGACTGCTGTGGGGGAGAGGTGTGCTGTTTACCTGGTGGCCCCTTCCCCATCTCCCCTGGGCCCCTGTCCTTGGCCTCGTGGTCCCCACCCAGCCTGGAGATGGCTAAGCAGGGAAGCCTTGCTGGGGTGGAATTCTTGCAGGAGTCAGGGGACCCCTGGCCCATGTGCAGAGACTTGTCCCCATGGGGAGTCCTCCTGTCCCAGAGACCCCAGGCAGGGCCAGCCTGGCTTGTGTGTGGCCCCTGGGCCTTTCAAAGAATGGCAGTCTCCTCCTGAAGCTTCTGAGACCCCCAGCTCTGTGCCCTCACCTCCAGTCTGTTTTGCACACGTTGCTCAAATACTGACTGTGTGCTAGGTGATGGGGACATGCAGGCAAAGCGCTCAGTCCTGCAGGGGGCAGAAGCTTCTGGTGTGACCAGTGCAGTGGAGGGAGGCCCAGAGGGCTATGGGAGCACCGAGGAAGAAGGTCCTGGCCTGGGGAAGTCAGGGAAGGTTTCCTGTAGGAGGTGGAAGTTGAACTGAATCATAAAACTCAGAAGTGATGGAAGGGGCCTTCCAAATGGAGGAAGAGCTTGTGCCAGAGCCTGGAGGCAAGAAGAGAAGGCAGGACCAGCTATGGGGCCTTGAATGCCAGGCTGAGAAGCTTAGATTTCATCCCAGTGCAATGTGGTGGATAAAGCACTGGCCCTGGAGGCTGCTCATATCCCAGCAGGACGCTCATGCATGTTACCATCCCTGTCTGCCTCTCTGCTCATCTGTAAAATGGGGATAACAATAGTACCTAGGCTATAGGGCCGTTACCCATGAGCTTACACAAGTGCTGAGAGTAGTGCCTGGCACGTGATGGGTGTGACAGAAGTGAATGAATAAAAGCAGGCTGTGTGGGGATGAGGAGGGTGTCCCAGGAGAAAGGCCTGGGCACTTTGTTTTTTTTAGAAAGAGAATTAGTGTAGGGGATGGATCCAGCCTTATGATGAGACCAGTTTAGGTCCTCAAGAGAGGGGTGACGGGGCATGGCCACGGGGTCAGGATTTGTGGCACCTCTGTGAGGTTTTGGTGACCCATGACACATCTGAGCAATTTTGGGAGCTCAGACTTTAAAGCTAATGGCGAAATCTTTGGCATCAGCAGGCGGAGGCAAGCGGGGAGAGATGTGAGGGAAGCGGGTGGGGATAAGCAACCTTCTCACCCTGGGCACAACCTACCCACAACCCTTGGCTGACAGGGTATGTGGACGTGGGGCTGATCCCAGCTGGCGCACGCGAGATCCGCATCCAGGAGGTGGCCGAGGCTACCAACTTCCTGGCACTGCGGAGCGAGGACCCGGAGAAGTACTTCCTCAATGGTGGCTGGACCATCCAGTGGAACGGGGACTACCAGATGGCAGGGACCACCTTCACATATGCACGCAGGGGCAACTGGAAGAACCTCACGTCCCTGGGTCCCACCAACGAGCCTGTCTGGATCCAGGTGCCTGCCTCCCGAGGCCCAGGGTGGGGGAGCGGAGGCGCAGTCCCCAGGCCCAGCACCCCTCATGGCAGGTCTCGTCCTGGAGGAGTGAGCCCTGGGTCAGTCACAGAGCCTGGCTCTGAGCCAGGCCCTCCTGCTGTGGCCTCTACCTTGGTTTCCCTATCTTTAAAATGGCCCAATGGTGTAGCTGCAGTTCACAGAGGTGGCTGGAGTTGGCTCCTTTAGGACTGGGTGGATGGAGAAGACACCTCGTACTCACGGGCTCCTGCCTGCCCACCCAGCTGCTGTTCCAGGAGAGCAACCCCGGGGTGCGCTACGAGTACACCATCCACAGGGAGGCAGGCGGCCATGGCGAGGTCCCGCCACCCGAGTTCTTCTGGCACTATGGGCCCTGGACCAAGTGCACAGTCACCTGCGGCAGAGGTGAGAAGTGGGGCAGGCACAGCCCTGCCAGCAGGGACTTCGTCTGTGGACAGGGACGCTGGCTTCAGCTTCCAGCTCACTGCTGGGCCACCACGGGTTTGGAAGTTGGCTTCTCTGAGCCTCAGTTCCCCATCTGTGAGATGAGGCTGGCAACCGCCCCATGTCCCAGGCGCACTGGGAGGGTAAATGGATGAGGCAGGTGGGTGCTGGCTCGTGGCGCGTGCTCAGTGTGCTCCAGCTCTTGTCGTTCTCCCTGAAGCAGACACAGCTCCCTCTTGATTGTGTCCTTGCTCAGCTGCGGCAGGTCTTGTGCCTGCATTTCTGCTGCGTCCTGGAGACCAGTCCAGTGGCGCCTCACCGTGCTGACTTATTTCCCTGAACTATTTATGAAAAGTAGGGCAATTTCTTTAACTCCGACTCTTCCTCCCCATATTTCCCTCAGTCTCCCCCCATGCTTCTCAGTCCCCGCTCTCTTTATCTCCTCCCCACTGCTCCTCGGTCTCCCCTCTGCCCCTCCGTGTCCTCCCCACTGCTCCTCAGTCTCCCCTCTGCCCTTCCATCTCCTTCCATACTTCTCAGTCTCCCCCCATGTCCCTCAATCTCCCCCCATACCCCTCGGTCTCCCTCCTGCCCTCCAGTCCCACCCATGCCCCTCGGTCTTCCTCTCCCCGCTCGGTCTCCCCCGCCGTTCCTTGGTCTCCCCCGCCGTTCCTTGGTCTCCCCACACCTCAGTCTCCCGCTTTGTCCCTTAGTCCTCCCTTTTCCCCTCAGTCTTCCCATCGTTGACACTCAGTGTCCTCAGGGTCTCAGAATCGGGAATCTGAGATACAGACATTTGAGCATTCCTTAAAATGCTATTATGATGACAAAATGAAAATGGAGAACTGGGCAGATACCTTCCAAAGCTAGGAAATCCATGTTATCTAATACAGCTGTTTATTTTATTTTTATTTTATTTTATTTGAGATGGAGTCTCACTCTGTCACCCAGACTGGAGTGCAATGGCACGATCTCAGCTCACTGCAGCCTCCACCTCCCAGGTTCCAGTGATTCTCCTGCCTCAGCCTACTGAGTAGCTGGGATTTACAGGCACGCGCAACCAGGGCCCTGCTGATGAGGTAATGGGGTTTGAGGCAGGAAGGGCCTCCCTTCCAGGGTTCTGCTAATCCCAGTGGTGGGGGGTTTCCTGGCCAGCTGGGTCCTGGTGGAAGGGCCTGAGCTAGAGGTGGTTCTGCACAACCCCGCCGCTGCCTCCAGCACACACACACACACACACACACACACACTCACTCACACACACACACTCATACACTTCCTTCCTGCAGCCCCAGCTGCTCTCAGCAGTGCTGATGGCAGGAAACGTGGTGGCCCTGGAGTGTCACCTAGGCTCCCCTCGCCAGCTGTGTAGCCTTGGGCTCCATTTCCCTCTCAGGGCCTTCATGTGCTGAATAAAGGGGCTGCCAAGCCCCATCCTTGCATAAATGAAGTCTGGGCATGAAGGGCCCAGCACTGCGTGGGCATCGAGGGGACACTCAGGCAAAGCGGCTTCTTCCCCTCTGCCAAAGCCACTGTCATCCCCAATTGCAAGGTCAGGGAGAGGGCCTGGGGCCAACCCTGCCAGTCTAAGGAATCCAGAAGCTGTGGTGTGAGGAGCTGCGGCCCCTGTGCTATTGGCTGTCTGCTCCCTACCCCTAGGACAGAGTCCTCAGCCAGGGCCCTCAAGCAGGCATTCGGGGCCCCCTGCAATCTCCCCGGTCTGCCTTCTCCCCTTGTCCAATACAGCCTTCTCTATCTGCACTGGCTCCTGGGCAGCCCTCATTCAGGCTCAGAGTGGCCCCTGCCATGCCTCGTTACCCTGCCTCTGGCAGGGGTGGCCTTCCTGCCTCAAACCTCAAGGCCCAGTGGCAGTGCCCCCACCCTGTCCTGCCTGCCCTCAGCATGCACCTAGCCAGCATCTCAGAGTGCTCCTGTGTGTCGCCTAAGCTGGGTGCTGGCACCATGTCTCTCACCTTCAGGGTTAGGGCTGGCCAGAGGGAGCAGGGTGGTTATGATCCCCGGGGATGAGGACCAGATGGGGCAGAGAACAGGAACTGAGGCGCCTGGCGGCCTAGAACCAAGGACGGATGGCCCAGGAGGCTCTGGGCCTGCAAAGTCTCCCAGGGGCGGGTGTGAGTGGGCTGCAGGGAGTGGGCAACGGGGGCTGGTTAGGTGGCTGAACTAGAAGCTGTCCTAAGTGAGTTTTCTGCCACCAGTGAACAGTGGAGGGGCGGCTGGGAAGTATCTTGGACTTTGAGACCTGGAATTCCCAGGATGTTTTGCGGTCTGTGGGACAGTTGGTGGGACATGTGGAAAGCCGGGAAACTAGTGTGTGTGTGGTCACTGCAGTGACACAGCAAGGCCACATCCGTTTGCTGTGGAGGCGGGGTTGACAGAGGAGGGAACGAAGGCCCAAGAAGTGAAGCAACTTGTCTGAAGTCACCCCAGGCGACCAGGATGCATGCCTGCAGATGTGCGCTCTGGAGCTTTGCCTGGAGCTGGGGTGGAGGAGCCTGCCTGCTGCCTCGTGCCCTCTGCCAGGCCTGGGGGCTGTCCCAGGCCCAGGGATGGCTGCTGTCCTCCTATTCCTCCTGCTGGAGTAAGCTGGGTCTGTCAGCAGCAGCAGCAGCAGCAGCAGAATCAGGAGCAAAGCCAGGAGGCTGGAAACAAGCCACCTCCCAAAATAGCTCTGATAACCATGGGGCAAGAGGGCCCAGCCAAGCCTCAGCCCTGACGAGCACAGCCTGGAGCTGGCCTGGGCTCAGTCCCTGGTTTCTGCTGACGGCCTGTAAGGCCCACTCACTCTAGGCTTCGTGGCCCACCTGAGAAGTGGGAGGTTGGCCTGGGAGATGGGACCCTATGACTCAGAACCCGAGGCTGAGTACAGCCCCCGTGGCTGGAGGTGGTCACGGAGGCCTGGCAGGACAGATGTACTGGGGCAGGGGGTGGTGGTGGGAGTGGACGGCAGAGGCTGCTGCAGGCTGGCAGGAGGCCCCGGGACCGCAGTTCTGTGGTAGGATCTGTTAGGGAACACCAGGGGTGAGCAAGGATGGAGATGGGATGGCAGGGAGTCGCCCTGGGCAGGCTCTTTCACGGGCATGTGAGGGCATCAGGGTGGGGTCTCAGGACCTTTCCTCCAGAAACCTCAGCCCAGCAGCGCCCGTTCTCGAGTCCTGGGGTTGGCCATGAGCAGGTGGGACAGAAACAGCAACAGCTGGAGACCTGCAACTCCGGTTCAGAAGCCACTCCAGAAACTGGGGCCCTTTGCTCAGTGGGGAGCTGCTGGAGCCTCCTTAAGGTGGTTGGGGTGGGGAGCCAGGTTCTGGGTACCCCAAACCACTGGTCCTGATGCCCCTCTGCCCCTCCCCCACTCCAGGCTGTGAGCAAGACCGCCTGTCCTTCGGGTTTTGCGAGACACTGCGCCTACTGGGCCGCTGCCAGCTGCCCACCGTCTGCACCCAGTGCTGCTGCTCATGCTCCGCCCAGCCACGGCGCCCCCTCTCGAGGCCATCAGTGGGTTGCCCACCGCTGACTGTGCCAGGATGCACAGACCGACCGACAGACCTCAGTGCCCACCACGGGCTGTGACGGAGCTCCCGCCCCCTGCGCCCTAATGGTGCTAACCCTCTCCCTAGCCAGCGGCAGGCTGGGGACCTCCTCCTCATGAAAAAAGCTATTTTTTTATTCTAACAGTTCGTGTAACATTTATTACGATTTTACATAAATGAGCATCTACCATTCCAAAGCACAGTGTGACTTCATCCTGGATTTGGAGAATCTTAAAAGTCAGAAACTCTTCCCCCAACCCCCCTGCCCAAAACTCCACCACGGCAGCACCTTGGCAGGCGCGGCTTTTCACGTGCTCCTCTGGGGCAGATCTGCAGTGGGCAGAGCAGCAGTCAGGTCCATGAGAGCATGGCGTCTGGTGAGGCACAGAAGGCCTTGGAAGCCGGGGGCTGCTGCCCAGGGAGGCCTGTGTGCAGAGGGTGGGGTTCTGGGGACAGGAAGGTCTTCTGGGCAGGGGCACAGCTTGGCCCTTACTTGCTGCCCACCTGAGGCCCCACTCTGTGGTCCTCAGAGACTTGTTCCACAGGGATTGGGCCCACCTTGTCACTTGCAGGGACTGCCCCTTGGAGTGATGGGGACTGGGGCCCCCGGGGGCACCTCCCTGGCCCTGTTGTATCTGTTGATTTTTCTGCAAAAAGTGGGCAGAGGGAAGAAGAGCAGGCTGGCCAGCTGTGCCCTACTGTGTCTGTCCCAGGACTTGGAAGGGAGGGAGGGAGTATGGCCAGGGTGGCTGCCTACAGGTGCATATCCTGCTGCTCCCCAATTCAACACGCTCACCTCATTTCACGCCAACACACCCCATCCTCAGAGGAGGAGCCCAAGGCTCTGAGAGGAAGTAACTGGCCCAAGGGCACATGCCCTGCTGACACAGGCCCATCCTAGGCTCTGACTGCCCACCTCCAAGCTCCAGGCCACCCTGAGCAGGTGGAAGAGGGAGAGGGCCCCGAGCAGGCCCCAGCGGCGGCTTTGCACAAAGCGGGCAGCCTGCCAGAGTTCACGCAGGAAAGCAAGTTGCTGGGCAAGCTAGCGTGAGTCCAGCCCTGCTGCGCTGCCCGCGGGTGGAGGAGCGTCAGGAGTGCTTCCTGTCTGTCTACAGCAGCCCGGCTGGCCCGAAGAGACCCTGGGGACCCATGCTCTGAGTCATGGCTTCCCAGGCCTTAGTCAGAACTGCCCCTGCTGGCAGCCCCTTCCAAGGGGTGGGGAGCAGAGCCTCTCGACTTGCTCCTGACTCACACATTGAGCCAGTCCATCCCAGCTCTGCCGCCGCTGCTGTGCTGTGTGACTTCAGGAACCCCCAGCCTCGCTGAATCCATGTCCCCAGAAGGGAAAAGCCTGCCAGGCCTTGCCTTGCCCTGTCTGGGAATCCTTGCGGGAGCCACCCCTGAAACACCCCTATGGGAAACCCTTTGGTCTTCATCATTCTTGGGTGTTTTCCACTGACAGCTGGGGGTGTCTCCGGTGGCAGCTGGGCCTGAGCTGTCAGCCCAGGCAGGAGGCAAACAAGCCTGTGACTCAGGCAGGGCATGGCACAGCTGGCGGAAGGAGGCGTGCCTGTTCTTTGTGGCTGGGTGGGGGGTTATCTGGACACAGGGAGTCTCCAGTTCCTGGCTTCCCACCTTGGTGCCCCCAGCCCACACCTGCAGCTTGGCCATGGTTCTTGGGGACTCCAAAGGCTGCCCCTGCTGGGAAAGGCATCCTGACGCACCCGCCCCAGGGTAAGCCAAGGGCAGGGACACCCAGAAACGCCAGGCTGGAAGGTCAGAGAGCCCCTCCTCACCCCCCAACACCAATAAGCCCTGGTCCACCCTCCAAGCCCTTGGGGTGAGCCTCATCACTAGTGACTATAACGGAATTTCAGTGCAGAATATCATACAAATTAGTTTATTTCTTCCTTAGTATTACAGTTCCAAAATGTAACCTGAAGGTCAGCACAGGAGCTGCTATGATATAAAAGGAGAGTCACCTGGCGCCCCCTGCAGTCCTCCAGTTGCCCAGCAGCGGTGGGACACTCAGTGGCACACACTAGGTCTCTGTATGGCCTCCCACCTGCAAGGACTTCCCCGGGCAGGCCCAGCTGCCCAGAAGCCCCGGAACACACAGGAAGACAAAACTATAGGATGGTGGGTGGGGATCTGTGCAATACAAACTTGTAGTTAGAAAACCCAACCGAGCATCTGTCTAGGATACTTCCTATATCAATATACCGCAGTTGGAACCAGAACCGTCTCCAGCCATCAGCAGTCTTGGCGGCTACTGTACAGCTGTCAGCATGACTACAGGCAGCGCCCGGGGCTACCTGGGGTAAGAAGTGGGCCCGCACCTCACAACAGCGAGTCAGTGAGAGTCAGGGCCGGAGGGAAGAGCAACTCGGAGGCTCAGGCTGGCACAGATACAAGGGAGTCACACACATAACGTAAGAACTTGTTATATAAAATAGATATGTGGAATCTAGAAACACCTTGAGAAAATAGCCTATAAAAATATAAACTGTAGTGAAAGCATACAAAAGTATTAACAGAGGTTCAACCCATTAAAAAAAACCCCATCCATTTAAAAGTTGGCAATTCCCAGCAGGTGTAGGGAGGGAGCTCCCCTTGGTCCTGGTGCGTGTATTTGGACAGGCCTTTGGGTTTCTCAGCTGGCAAGGTCCCCCTTGCAGGGGCCATGGGCTGGGTGTTGGGGCGAAGGTTCGGAGGAGGAACAGCAGTGTGGGGCAGCCCCTGCCAGAAGGACCCCCTGCCATGGCAGCCAGTGGAGGCCAGGGACCTTCAGGGCACTGGAGGGGACAGAGCAGCTCTTTCCTCAGTGACATGAAGGGGGGAAGTGTTAGCACGAAAGAGTGGAGGCCACAGTCCTGGAAGGAGGAGTTGGCTCCATCCTGTTCCCAAACTGGAACCAGGCGGAGCTGCCCTATCTTGCCTTCTGGACGCCCGTCACTTGATTCCAGGCAGGAGAACCTCTGAGTAAGTGTCCCCAGTCCCTTTCCTCCAGGAACTCTCCTGCTCTCACACACACACTGCCTGGCAACTGCTGACAACTGTCTGGGAACACGAACATACCACTGTGGGTTGCAGCCATGACGGGACCCTGGTCAGGTGCATCTCTCAGGGCAAACTGGACAACACGAGCCTGTCCCTAAAGGCAGCATCTTAGCCCCAGGACATGGCAGTGTGTGTTGGCATGTTCCAGGGGCCATCAGCTTGGAAAGTAAAACCTGAGGGCAGCTGGTGCTGGCCCACGGGCCCAGCCCCATTCCTGCTGCACCTCCTCAGCAGCCGTCCCCCAGGCTGACAGCTGTCGTTTCTGATGGGCTGAGGGGGTGGGAGATTCCAACATTTGATTCGAGCGGACTGCAATGCCCAGCTCACAGGACAACTTCCTGAAGGAGTCAGACCTCAAACTGCTGCTCTCAAAGACAAAGACAATGGCAAAACCCATTTTTGATGCCTGAAAAGAGGCAAAGGCTTTTGGCTAAATATAGAGGCCAGCCCCTCTACCCAGTGAAACGTTAACCAGCTCCACTAAAGACATGAAGCCGGAGCTCAGTCTAGCGTGCGGAAACGCCAGCTTCGCCGTGGCACTGCTAGAAAGTTGACAGCACAAAATAACCGGAAAAAAGTACTTCTTAAAACTGCATTGCTTCAATTCTTAGTCTCAGTGTGTTCGTATCAACAAAGGATGATTTCCAGTTTTTTTCAGGTAATATGAAACATTCCACTGAGACCGTTTTTCTTGTATTTTCACAACACTGTGCCAGAACACATCGTCTCACATCTACGCATCAGGGATGCTCTAGAGGGATTAAGCAAAAATGAGCTCCTTGCGCAAAGCCTCTTCCCAGCCTTCAGAAAGGCAGTCCTGTGAGTTCCCAGAAACTGCCGTGTCAGAGGCACCAGTGACCCTGTGTCCTGGCAGAGAACAAGGATGCTTCCAGGCAGTGGTGGGGTGGGCACACACCCGGGAGAGCTCACCCAAGCCTGGGCCCCAAGCAAAAAAGTTTCCCAGCCCTGGACACTGGCAGCCGGCCTCCTGCACAACCCAGTCAGGTGGAGGAGACACCAGGAGCATTGGCCATCTCCAAGGAAGCCAAGGTTTTCAACTGTCCAAGAGCGTTCACGCTGCAGCTGCACCACTGCCCTGCAAAGCGCCACCGAAAAGATTCCTCCATCCCCTGGACCAAGGCCAGCCCAGGGGTGGGTCTGCTTTGCAATATGCCGGTCCACCGTTGACCTGGAATCCTGAACTGTCGTACTTGGTGAATGATTTCCACAAGTCAAGAAGGGCATTCCACAGAATCTCACCGAGCCACGCCAGGCACGTGGCAAGCTGGGGACAGAGCAGCCCAGTAATCTGCAAACATAGGCTGGCCATGAGAAGTGAGGGCGGGTGTCTGGGCAGCCAGGCCCTCGCCATGCAGGCTGGGAGCCACTGTTGGAAGGGTTGCGTGTGGAAGAACAAAGGTTATTCTAGAAATGGGGCACGGCTGGCAGCTTAAAGCCACTGGTGGGAGGTTCACAGGCTTTCTACAGTGGCCATTTCTGAACAAGCGATGTGCCTGCCTTTCTAAGGCAGTCCCTTTTCATACCGACCTTATGCCTGAGGCAGCAACCCCCTGGCCTACAGGTGCCTGAAGCACAGTGGGCATCCTTCACAGCACTGCCATTCAAAACCACACACCACTGCCCACTATGTACAGGAGAGAGAACATGGGGAGACGCCCAGCAAAGCAAGGTTTCAGGGGGTCAGAGCACCGATAAGCTGACGGAGGCTGGAAACAGGCTCTTGCAAATAGCCACTGGTAAGCCTGAGGATCCATCAATCAGACAGAAAGCATGACTGAGATACGTGTAACCAAAAGCATGGCATGGAAATGGCTGTAAACAGATGAGACCTCCCACCCCTGCCCCCGCACAGTGGGAAATGAGGAAGTGCAGTCTGGCTTTGGACATCTGCCCAGCAGATTCCCAGAGGCCACACACGTTACATTCTGGCTTTTAAGCGTGCTTTCACCCTTTGGGCACACTTTGGTTGTGAAGGCAGGAAGAGCAGCGTCCCGGGACCTACTCAGGTATCCTCCTCCTCGTCGCTGACCAGCTCACCCTTGTCAGGGCTGGTGTCCCGCTCACGCAGGAAATCCTCACGGATGGCCTCCAGCTCGGTCAGCTCCAGCCGGACCTTCTCCAAGTGGTAGGCGCGTCGGTTCCGGATCTGGCGTAGGGGGAAGGGGTTCAGGTCCCCAAAGGAGATACTGATCAGCTTCCTGGCAGGACACAGGGGAGAGACAAGAGAATCAGCAGAGCTCATGTGAGTGCTCACACACAGCCCTCACAGGCACAGCAGGTGGCCTGGGGCAGGGTGGGAAGAGCGCTGGCCAGGCTAGGGGTCTGACGTAGGGGATGAGGCCCACCTTCTGCAGAGAGGTGATAAGGAACAATGGCCCTGCCAGGGGCAGGTTCAGAATGATGGCCTGGACTCCAGCTCTGCCACATGCTTGCTGTGTGACTGAAGTCACCCCCTTTTCTGGCCTCTGATTTCTCATCTGCACACTGGGGAGTAGTGCCACCTCCTAGTGTGTGGGATTACTCGAGTTCCCACACATAAGCACTGAGAAGAGTGCCCGGCACTTGCATGGTGATGACAGGTGCGGATGTGTCTGCATTCTCAGGTAGGCATGAGGCCTGGCACCGGGCATGAGTCCAGGACGTCTGTGTCCCAGGACTGATTGACTGGGAATGAACACAGGCCCAGGCAGTCCTGGCGATGACGGTCAGAGCCAGTCGGCAATGTGACAAGTGTCCAGATGCAGTCTACAGAGAAACGTGCAGCTCGTGGGTTTCACATTATCCCCAAGCCAAGGCTCCAATTTACAATAAAAATGTTAAGGTTGTGATCACTTGCTCCTAACCACTGGTCAGTGGCTTAATAAAAATAAAACCAAAAGCTGTCCTGAGGCCTGGCTATGGATTTGTAGCACTAAGGGGTCAGCCACGCTGGTCTCTGGGGATCACAAAATAAGCCAGTTCCTCCAACACGGGGCCACCACCTTCCCCTCTCTGGATTCTGCCAGGCCCCAGACGCTGTGCATCCAGCAACAGGGGCTCGTTCCTTTCCTGTCAACCGAAGGCCCAACAGACTCACCAGCCCCAGGAAAAGCTGTGATGAAACAGAAATGCCCCGAAGGACTTCCTGCCCGTCCCCAGTGGAGCAGGCCATTTGCTCCTGCTGCCATCAGCCGCTTGGGTTCCTGTCAACACACGGCGCACACGAGGGCGCAGCCTTCTGTGTTTCCAAACCCCGCTGCCTGGACATGCTTAACTCTCGTCCAGAGGCTCAAGGTCAGAAAGGCCAGCTTTATTTAAATTCCGAATTCCCCAGCGTGTGTTCTAGAACATGGGAGCACCAGAGAACAGGGAAGACCCGAGCACAGGGGTCCCCGCTTGTGGATTTCTCAGGTTCCACTTCCTGCCTGGCTCTGCGGACCGGGCTGCCAGCCCCACCAGGCGGGAGGAGGCTTCATGTGAACGGGGCACAGGGTCCCCACTCACTAGCACTTTCTCTCCCATAGCTATCAGCCCACAGCCCCCACAAACCCCAAACCTAAGGCGCCCACCCCTCCTGTGCTGCAGAACGTGAGCCCGAAGTGTAATTCTTCATTTGCTCCTCAGTCAGGAGCTGAGAGAGGCCTCTGAGCCCAGGCTGGCACCCGGGAAGCCAGACCCCACCTCTGCCTCAGGCCTGGAAGATTCCTCTGGGAGATGAGAAGGCGCCCCGTGGTTAGCTAAATTTGGGAGACGATGCTCAGCACCTTGAAAGGCTTCCAGAAGTTCTGCTGCAGAGCCTGGTTCAATCCTGTTTAATCCCCGTCTCCTGAATGCAGCTGACCACACAACTCCCTCCCTGTGTTTCTGAAGGCCACTCACTGTGCTGCAGGACTGGCCTCCTTGCAACCTCTAGTCTGGGGAGCTCATTAAAACACTGAGGCTGCAGCCCATAGGCGGGTTATGGGCCCCTGCAGTCTTGATAACATTGGGGAGCCTGTCACTGTGGCCTGGCACTCCTTAAAGCACCTGCTGGTCTGGCGACCCGGCTTTCTAAAGCAAGCTGCAGGGGAGAATGTACTGCGAGCCGCTCGCAAGGAGGCGCTGCAGGACCATGCAAGGTCCAGCAGTGGTGGTGCCAGGGAAGGGGCGGGCACTCGCCAGAGTCACGCCCACTCGCCTCTGCTCCTCCTGGCAGCGCCTGGGACCCAGTACAGAAGTGAGGGCAGCGGCGCTTCCAACACAGCCCTAGCTGTAGGCATGGGTGAGCTCATTCCGTGTCATTCTCAGGAATCCTGACCCAACACGAGATGAACAGAAACTCTCAAGGCTCACCCCAGGACTCAGAATCAAACTTTCTCCAGCAAATATGATTCCAATATCCTTTCTCATTTGGCAGAAATCATGGCACTGTTGTTGGTGCTATTAGTAAGCCTGAAACTTACAAACCCACTCCCAATAAAAGACCCTGAAAATAGCAACGACCTCCAGGAGGC